TTCCCGGGTGAACAGTATGTTAGCCAGTTTACTCTGGGCGTAGGCTTTCATTGGACTGTAGGCGCCGTTATTGAGGTTAATGTTATCGAAGTTGATTTGGCCGGTCATGTGGGCACTGGACGCCAGGTTCACCACTCGGGCCGCCACTGACTTCTTCAGTAATGGCATCAATGATAGGGTTAATAGAAATGAGCCTAAAATGGGATACAATTATATAAATTGGTTAATATATTGCAACAAAACATTTGTGTATTATTTGTTTTATAATTTTAATTATGTTCACTTTTGTATTATTTTATTTTAATATAATATTATTATAATTAACATTGGATTAGGTAAAATTTAGAGTTTATATTTCCCAATAAGTTAATAAATAATATCATTCAATTAATATAATAAATATTTAACTACCAATTTACAGTCAAAATGAAATATTTTTAACTAATAAGTTACAATTAATTATTTTAGCATAAACTAGATAAATAATTAGATTTGAAGTAAATAGTATAATATAATATAGATTTTAAAATACAAGTAAAGTAATATAATTTATATATCATATAAAACTATATTCTAGATAAATATTTTAAAATTTTATAGACATTAAATGTCAAAAATGTTGAAAGTCTTAAACCAACCAAAAAATGTTAATAAAATTAGTCAATAAAATAAATATAATGTTTACATAAAAATTACAGTCTAATTAAATTACAATATTAACAAAACACATACCAAGGTGATTAGTGCCAAACTGCATCTCAAACCCGTCGGCAGTCTTCCACTCGGGACACATGAAAACGCCCGCATTATTCACCAGTATATCCACGTGTGGCTCACGTATAGCCAGGTCATCGGCAAACTCACGGATCGACTTGAATGAGCTCAGGTCCAGTTTAATGGTTACAATATTAGCACTGGGATTGTCTGCTAATATCTCCTTAACCGCTATATCGGCTTTCCCTAAGTCTCTACACGCTATGTACACCTTATTTAGTACATACAAAAATTATATTAAATTAGAAATGTTATCAAGGTTAAATATAGGGATAAGTTATTAGAATATCTATTTATGACTACCTTAGCGCCCCTAAGGGACAGTTGTAATGCAGTCACTTTGCCGAGCCCTGTGTTAGCGCCGGTGACCACCACTACCTTTCCGTCCAGACGTCTGGTGGACTCACACCTCCGTCGACCGCCAAATATATTCAGATAAAGGTCTTTCAACGCGTGTCGTATCTGAGCTAACTGTCCCATTTTGATATAATCTCACAATATTTCAAAAAAATTGATATTTATTCTAGGTGTTTTAATAATATTAAAAGTACTTCTGACAGAATTGTCCAAAAATATTATTAACCAGATTATGCTAAAAACAAATATAATACTAAAACTTTAATACAGTTTTCAAATACACTGAATAGTTGAGGGAACAGTAGCTTATCGCTTATATACGAGTGCGCATAGCACCTGGTGGTAAAATATGTGCAGTGCACCGAGTTTAGTACAAACATACTATTACGCAATGCTATGCTATTTCTATGTGTTTAGGGCAAATCAACTATTATCATTAGTTAGTACATTTGTTAGCAGTGAATTATGTATACAGGGGCTACATACTACCGTTCCTATGGTAATTCAAACTCAATGTTGAATTTTAAAATATATTTTCATAGTAAGTATGTAGGAGACAATCCCGGTGCACAGTGCACTAAAAGTTAATGCAATATTATACGTGATTTTTAGGTGTAAAAGATTTATTTTTAGTGCAAAATTCATGAAATACTTGTGAATTACATTTTGTGTGCCACGTGATATTAATAATTAAGCCAGGTATCTTTAAAAAATGATTGTATTTTAAGTATTATATAAAAATAATAGCATCAAGAATAGGGTAATCCAATAAATAAATCAAAACCAATTTTGTAATAATTTTTATTATTCTTGAAAATTAATATACAGTTTGAAAATTCTTAACATTAACTAAGCTGTTGCTGGGTTATTTATTTGTTTTTTAATACAAGTAATTATAAAATCTTTTGTATTACGGTAAATACAATTAAAATTAAAATATTTGTTTTTATTAACTAAAATAACATAATTTATTTTTTTAATAATAATTAAACACAATTAACTAGTCACATATAACAATAATTTGTAATATATGGTAATTTATAGTTAATTAATAAATTCAAAATCTTTCAAAAATATTTTTGTAAATTATTTAGGAATAGGTTTTGCCACATAATTAGATTATACATTATTAAAGTAACCATGATAAAAATTATATTTTATTTACAGTTTTAATTCCAGAATTATAGATATTAATGTATTTATGTAATGACATCAAAATTTTTATTTTAAGAAACACATTAAATAATGTATGTATCGATCAATACTGATAATTGAATGTATGATAAGACACGAAAAATATATTTCAAAAGATATCGTAAATATGGGTTCACTTCTGCCAGACAGTGGGTGTCCTAACAAACAGTCGGCGCATATCGTCGTTGAGGTCCACCAAATCGCAGCTCAAATCCCACAGACGTTCCGACACTTTATCGTCGGTCGCAGTCGACAGCATGTGCTCAACGCGCCGGCAGTTTCTGTAATCATAATTGAAAATTAATAATTATATTAAAAATAACTCGTTTACGTTAACCACACATAAGAAATTATAATAAACTCTTTGTGATATGAAAAATTAATTAAAAACTATAATATAATAGTTAAATAACAAATAGTTATACTATGTTATATCACATCATATCTATTAGTACCTCAAAAACAAAAATTTTTTAAATAATTTTACAAGTTTTAAATTACTAAATATAATTACATTTACTAAATTCATTAAGTGACCCTGTTGTTATTAATCGCTATAGTTTAATTCTTATACTATACATAAGACCAAAAAACATTATTCTCATAAAATACTGACTCGTAATAAAAACCGCTTTCATTGTCCAACTTCTCGTCCAACACACAGTACAGCGATGTCTGGACACCCATTTCGGGGGTCAGGAAAGCCTTCCTTATAAACCAGTCAAACACCGCATTTCTCACGTGTCTCTGGGCGTCGGTATTGACAGCACCCGGGTTTACAGCATAGACCTTGATATTACTATTAGGACCCAGTCGATTAGCCAGTTCCCGGGTGAACAGTATGTTAGCCAGTTTACTCTGGGCGTAGGCTTTCATCGGACTGTAGGCGCCGTTATTAAGGTTAATGTTATCGAAGTTGATTCGGCCGGTCATGTGGGCACTGGACGATAGGTTCACCACTCGAGCCGACTCTGACTTTTTGAGTAATGGTATCAATGATAGGGTTAATAGAAATGAACCTAAAATGAGATAAAATTATAATTAGTTGTAGTTTTGGTAAATTTATCTATTATAAAATATACTTGTTTGTTTTATATTATACCGGTTATTAAAAAATGAATATAAATTTTAATTTAATTTAGTCTTAAAATTAAATCCAATTTAGAAAGCATAATATTAATCAAATAAACTATCACCATTTTATAATAAAATATACAGCTACAATTATAAAAATGTTATTTAATATTTTTATAATAATTATAAATTAATTATTTACTCTCGTTATGTCGTCGACCAAAAACAAAAACATTAATATTTGCCTGATAATTAAATCTATATTAAATTCTTATTTACAGTATTAAAAATTAATGAATATAAAAATCTGCTATTTGTGGAAATTCTAACATAATATTTAATTATATTTGAGAGGTTTTCTGTAAGAAAAAGCTATCTCTAAATACAAATATATGAATAATTTTATGAGTTATATTTAAACCTTATTTAGTTTACCCATATTATTCATAATTACTCATCAAATTATTCATATATTTGTATTTAGAGATAGCTTTTTCTTACAGAAAGCCTATCATTTATAAAATTAATATACTTAATTTAATAAACACATACCAAGGTGATTAGTGCCAAACTGCATCTCAAACCCGTCGGCAGTCTTCCACTCGGGACACATGAAAACGCCCGCATTATTCACCAGTATATCCACGCGTGGCTCACGTATAGCCAGGTCATCGGCAAACTCACGAATCGACTTGAATGAGTTCAGGTCCAGTTTAAGGCTCGTTATGTTAGCCTTTGGGTTCCCGGATACTATTTCTTTCACCGCTATATCGGCTTTCCCTAAGTCTCGACACGCTATGTATAGCTGTTAACAATAATATAATATTAAAATTAAATAATTTAGAAAGTTTATCTAGGTAATTTAAAATTATTTAGTTATTCAGTGTTTTACTTTTAAAAATTAATATTACCTTGGCACCCCTAAGGGACAGTTGGTATGCCGTCTCTTTGCCGAGCCCTGTGTTGGCACCCGTGACCACCACTACCTTCCCGTCCAGGCGTCGGGTGGACTCACACCTCAGTCGACCCCCAAACATATTTAAATAAAGGTCTTTTAGTGAGTGTCCCAAATGAGCTAGTACACCCATTATTGATAATAGTGTTTAAATTTTTACAACACACTACAGTATATTGTAATTATTAAAATTTAATAAAAATTATTTAACACTTTTAGTTGAACACAATTAACTAGCTAAATATAATTAATATTTAATATAGTATATGTGAAAATAAAATGATGTTTACTACTAGACAGTTAGAAAACACATTGAATGTAGTGAAGGGAACAGTAGGGAAATGTTTATATACGAGTGCGCATAGCACCTGGTGGCAAAATATTTGTATTGCACTAAATGTTTGGTGCAAAACACACTGTTATGTATAGCAATGCTTTTTCTATGCGTTCAGTACAATTTCATAGATTAGGACATTTGTTAGACTGTGAAGTGTGTTTACAGACGCAAAAAAGCTACTGTTCCTATTTCTATTTCTATTCAGTGTTATTATTCAAAATATAACAAAATAATTACATCATTAACCATGTGTGAGACAAACTACTCGTGCACACTGCACTTATAATTTATATTATATTAGATTAGATTTAGTCAGCAATTTATAGAATTTAGTGGAAAATTATAAAACTTCATACATTATAAATTACTACTAAAATATATGAATATCTTTGAATAAACACTTAGAAGGAATTTCTCGATACGGAAAGTTGGCAATGTTAGTATAATTTGTATGTACATAAACTTAATCATATGATTGATAAATATGCATGGTCAAAAAGTGCGAATTCGGGCGATAAAATGGTTATTTTTGCGGTCAAGGAGTTGGCTGACATGATCATTTTTATATAAATTAACATTATTTGTATGTATTAAAAGTTTAGACGGCACTCAACCGTATAGTAAGCACTTTATGTGTC